TGGATGTCTAGATGGCTGATTTTGGTTTGTAACACAGTCTGCACAGCTGCAAACCTCAATGCCTCTTTAACAGTTAAAATTTTTTAATTTTCTGATTATTTGTGTCACACCAGAGCTCTAAGCATAGACCTGAACGAAGCAGATCTGCAGAGCAGCCAGTAAAGATCTGTTGTAGAAGCATAGAAGGGGGCTGTCAAAACCCGCTGCATTTTCTGTTCACCTGCACTGAAGCCTGTGCTGCTACATTTTACCATTAATCCCTTCTTATTTTATGATGAAAGATGCAAAAACCAGACTGTGGTTAGAGCCATGAAATACCTAACAGCCACTGGATCCTGTGGCAGATTTCTGGGGCAGCAGAGATCCTCTTCTGAAGGAACGGGAGACAGCAATCTCCAGCAGAAGGGGGAAGGCTAGAGCAGACGAACGTCTCGGAATGTCTCGGTCTTTACCACGATAGCCGAGCTGCAGGACAAGCTGGGAGCCCTTTCCTGGCAGGAGAGCTGTCACATGGACAGAGCTCAGTGCGAGCAGCCTGTTGAATCAGAGCAGCAGACGGAAAGGAGATTAGAATGGGGGAATAAATGACTTCAACTGGCTGCACTGATGGCTGGGAACTGTAGATGTCTATGTGCAGTGAAGTAGAAGTTCTACACCCAGAGACTAGCACACCTCACAGAAATAAAGCCAGCAGCACAGTCAATGCACATCCGCTCTGCTGCCACATATGGCAAGATGTCTACATCACGGGGCGTAACAGTTGCTTTGGCACTGAGGTAACTGCTGCGCTAGAAACAACCAGGTAAGCCTGAAACCGGAGACAGTTAATCAAAATGCACACTGGCGTGTAATGGGCCAAGACTAACAATGGGTTCAGTTTACAAAAGACCCCAGACAATTCGGTTTATGTCCCTGGGAACATAATTCCCAAGCCTTCTGGGAAAACGAACAAGGTTTCTGGTACTAACCTAGCAAACTTGCCACAGGAAATTTATACATCACCCAAAGTGCAAAGTGAGCTCTACCTATAGTCAAATGCCCTTGCTCCATCTTCATGCTTCCAGTAAAAGAATGGCGAGATTATCTAGAGCCCCTACTCTGCAAAAAGTTTGTAACTCTCATCAAGCAATTAATTTTACAGTGCTACAAAAAGAACCACAAGCTCACTTCTGTTTTACAACACCATTCCATGGAGCCACTTGAAAATACAGGTACAGGATTGTCACAGACCTGTGCTCAGTTGCAGTGGAACCTGGCAGTTCCCAGTGTCAGAAACTTGTCTCAGACATCACCATGACCTTTTGCCATTCCCAAAGGACAAGGTGGGACTGCAGCAGCTCTTCGATTCACTGGTTCACTTTTTAAAAGCCTAAAGCTGTTAACCTGCAACACTTAAAAGCAAAGTAAAAAAAAAAAAAAAAAAAAAAAAAAAAAAAAAAAAGTTTTCCAAACCTGGGTGTTGTAAGAAGCAGCAACTAACAGGCTTCTTGTTCACTACTAACCAATTTAATCTGCTGATGTTGGAAAAATCACTTTGATCATAAAGCCCGTATGGTAAGTGTACAAGGAGCAAAACACATCAAAAAAAATAATTACAAGTAGACTAGAATAAATCCCGCAGTGCAAATGGACAGAGTTTAGGAAGCAGCTATCATTTTACTTACATGCTCTTTTGAAGACAGTGCGTGAAACATTCCTATTTAACAAAAGAAATGTTACTGCGCACACTTCTTTCTTCAGGGTGTCGTTGAATCAGTGGTTTCCTATGGCTGGTTAAAGGGATATTAATTTCCCCTGAAATACTGCAGTCATGTGTTATTGACAGACTCTAACCACATCCTAACTGGAAAGAAAACTGGGCAGATGTCAATCTCCTGCTTGATTTTTTCTACATACATAAAAAAGGGGAGGGGGGGAAATATCTAAGCAGCTCAGACCATTCATTGCAGGTTAGAAAAAAAAATCCCTAGTATGTGCAGAGAAATCACAAGCCTCTTGTAATTAACGTGTACGTAAGGTAACAAGAGAAAGGTCTTCAGCAACAAAAGTCTTGCATGTCTCGACAGCTTCCAATTCTAGTGTCTAAAATGTTTCTAACCTAATGAGTGAGCAAGATATAAAAATGGTTTTACCATCTGTACAGCATCAGATGCATCAGAAACTTAAAAGAGATTGTGTAGGGTTTTTTTTTAAATAAAAGTTATTTCTAATGGAAGAAAGCATCCATAAATAAGCAAAGCGGTACCAAACAAGCAAACAAGTATGGTGAGTACAGGAAAATGTACAAAGCTGAATATAAAGTCATTGATGAATAATATCAAGAACACTTCTTATACTAATTAGTAAAAACATCAAAAATACTTCTACATCAGAAAAAGAAATGTTTTACATCCAAGCTTGCTCTCCCAAGCATACTTTGTTTACACCTGGCACTATTAGGAATGAATCATGTTAGGAATTCCTGAGTTTAAATAAGACAAAAAGCTAAGTACTGCCCTAGGGATAGCTTGATTCCTTTATTATGAGAAGCACATAAACCAGTCTCCTGCTCGCAAATTCTATTCAAGAAGTGAGGAAGGTCACACACTCCAGGACCGTGCTGCTTGTACTCCTCGATCTCAGAGGTGTGTTCAACCTCCCCCCTTCAAAATAAAGTGAAGGGTGATTAATGCCATTTGTGTGAAGTGTTAGTACTTTTCAGTGCCTCAAAACTGACTTAAAAAATAATAATCCAAGAGTGCTTATTTGTCTGAAAATCAACTGCATAAAATATTCCATAATATGGGCAGAGTAAAATAACCAGAGATGGAAAACGATTTGCAGTGATACAGAATTACCTGAGCACTTTCTATTTAGTTAAGCATGTGTAATAGACCTACTCAGTATATAATCAGTGTGCAACATTAAAAATTTTAAAAAAGAGTATGTGAAATTCAAATGGCATGTCATATGCAGAACTTTCTGGTGCCTGTACATATCCACCATAATTGAGAAAGTTTTATCATCTAGCTCATAGCAAAGGAGATCTGAAATTCCAGACTGAATTTATATATAACATTCATATTCTGAACTGTATAAAATAAAATGGAGCTATTATCTTAGACTTTCAATATTTTACTATGCAATACTAAAACCATCTGTTTTCCAACACAAAAAGAAAATACAAATCCAACTGAATGGCCTGCCAGAGTAACAGTACTTTACAGGAATATAATATTAATGTAATACTATGGTCTTTCCCAAACTGTTGGCATTTCAGATATTAAGAGTATTTTTCTTTTGTATTGCACAGACTCAAACGCATAGACAGCCATTTTCATACACCAGAGTAAGAAAACTTCCAAGATTATATGAATAAAATAGATACATTGGAAATCAGATAAAGCTTTACAAGAATTTCCCCGTGTGTCCAAAATGATTTCCTTTATCAAAGGCTTAATGGTGATGTGATTACCTCTCCTAGAGTAACATGTTTTACATCAGATTGTGCCCAAATACAAAACAAAACAAAACAAAACAAAAAAGCACCACTTAAGTAAAACAGAAATGATCACTGCAAAGACAGCAGGTTTTATAAGGGATGCTAAGATTAAGATGAAATTTCTTGAGAATACTATTGCCACAGAGAAGTGTCTTAGAAAATCCGAACGAACGTACCCTTTAACCTTTTCATTGCAATTTTGTACTTCATGACCTCACAGTCCATTTCATGGTCCAGTTAATGTCTTGTTATACCAGCAAAGAGTTCTCATCAAGAGCGGGATAAAGATCGTGGTTTTTCAGACAGGCTGAAGGAGCCAAGAGCCTTGCAGACCAGAATGAAGTCCCAGTTGCTTCCAGGTAGCAATTAGCACTTCTGAAGTCCAGCAGTGACAGGGAGCTGTCACGCATTGGCCTCCCAGCTTTACAGCACTTACTTACTCAACTCAACTTGGAGTCTGGTTTCTGCCTGTACAGACAAGCACTGCAGCTTTAATCTGTCTGCACTCAGGCCATCTTGTAAGCATGCTGGCATTTAACTTCAACTCATGAACTGGGAACATTTATACCCGAATTTTCTTCTCTTTTTTGTTTGTTTGTAATAATTAAGATATTGTTACATCCCATTCATATACTGCCATTTATAGTTATATATAATATTAACATACACATATATAAGAACTAGAATACTCTTTATGGCCTCTATTTTCTGATGTAAGTAACAAAAAACAAACAAACAACCCCCCCAAAGGAAAACAATTGCTGGTGTTTCCAGTTTCCCAACAGAGATGCAGGACCAAACCCTGAGCAACTGCTCTGTGCTATGGTTTTGTTGCAATAAGGAATTATGACACTTCTGCACCAGAGAGGCCCCTACTACCTCTCAGTGTCAGTGTACTGGGGGAGGGAAATAAAAAATCTGCAACAAAAGCTCATCCAATAGTGTAACCTAAATAATGGTATTTCAAGACAGGACAAACTCGGAGCCTAATGGATTAATTCAGTGCAGCCCACAAGTCTGGGTTTGTTTGCTGCACTTTATGTGTGAAAGCAAACCATTATAGCTATATGTGTAACGCAAGAAAAACTGAACACCATTCACACAGGCAGGAAGAAAACACTAGTACAATGTGCCGTGTCATGCCCCCGGCTGTGCTAAGGACTGAAAATACAAGGGAAGGAATAACTTCTGCATCAGTAGTATTGTCTAAAAAGCTATGTGTGGAAAACCAAATCAAACCTCAAATCCAAACCCAACTACCCTCATGCTTTGGTCAGTACAAGAGTCCCAGTGGTTTTCAGTGGCAGAGTGAGGAAGCCGTTGCAGGGACCAGGACAATGGGGGGACTCTGAACTCTGGGCAAAAAGCACTCGTGTGTGAATTGCAGCACGGTGAAGGTCCTGCAGCTACCCTGGCTCAGCCTTCCGTAAAAGAAATGCTTGGTTTTATGCTGGCTCAAAAAAACCCAAAAAAACCCCTCTGTCAATTCCAAAGGGACATCAAAAGGCCATTGGGATTGTTACTCAAAGGTTTCCCATCGCTTTCTGAGCTGTTCAACCTTACCTGGTGTGGATGAGACGTCTTGCTTTGTCTTTTTTAACAAATCTTCAAATGGATCTTTTGTCTCCTCAGATTTTGAGGATAGTAACACTGACTCTAAGCCCTTAGCTGGCCTGGAAGGGATCAAAGGGGGTTCATTAGACAGGAGAACTCGTGCTTGTTTGGGATCTACCTTTGAGCTGGACTGGCCCACCTGTAATGTTCTGGTTTTAGAAGGACCACTTAGACATGCTGGCTGTAGAGAGCTTGTTGGAGAAAGGCTGTGGCTCTGCAGCAATAACGAGCTAGCTGGTGGCACGGCTGGAGCCTGGCTAAACAAGTTTGGCATGGAGAGTGTTGAAATGTTTGGTTGAGGTCTTTGCGGTGGGTAGAAGCTAGAATTAGGTGTTATGAAGCTAGAGCTGTAAGCGTGACCTAAAGAGGGGGTGAAGGAGCCCCTTGGGGGTCTAACTAGAGACACTGAAAGGGCTCCTGGCACTGTTTGCATAAATGGATTAGGAGATGGCTGTAAAAAAGGTGGTGCTGCTGGGGAAGGATAACCAAGTGGCTGGGCAAATGGTGCAGCTGGAGGAGGCACAAAGTCACTTGCCACCGAGACAAAGCTAGCTGCAGAAGGTGGAGTGGCTGAGCTTTGCAGGCTGCAGGGACCTTGCTGTGGGCCACTGCTTTGCCAGCTGGCTGTTTTTAACGGATCCAGGAGATTAAGAAGGTAGTCGCTTTCATTACCTGCATTTTCTGTCTTCACTTTGACAGGCTGGAGCATCTCAGCAGTGCTGGTAGCACTGGACAAAAGCTGAGACGGATGAGAGGAATAATTTACAGACTGCTGGATTTCAGCATCTGAGGACACACTACCAACTCCAAAGGGCTCTGGGACAAGATCTGAAACCAAATGGCTACGTCCTGTAGTGTGGGTGGTAAGAATTTCTGTTGGCCCAGCTGGAGTCTGATGCTTGGAAGCCCTGGGTGCTGGTGGTGGTGGCACTATCCCCAGTTCAGGAGTCTTTCTTCCCTGTGGCCGAGGAATGGTGATGTTCCCTTGCACAGCAGGACTTGATTCATCCTTTTCTGCAGGAGCCAGAATGCTGTCTCTGCTCCGGGGTCTCCTTGTGATTGGCGGCATGTTACCAAGTGCCATCAAGGGCCTTTCTGGCGAGCTTTGGGAATACTTGGTAGGAATAGCCATATCATCATGACCCATACTCCACAGCTTGTTGTAAGGGTGAGACAGCTTCATGGTTGGCACAATCCTGTTCCTCTCAGACACACCAAGATCCATTCTCTGCAAGAAAGCATAAAAAAAGTTAACTTTTACTGATCTCCTCACAACATAGAGCATAAAGTGAAGACGGGCTGCTGAGGTATGAGTGGAAGAGGATCTGTCCACAGACTGCAAACACTGCAGAGGGACAACAGCATGCAGCCTAGACAGACAGGAAATCAGAAGCTGGACTCTGCAGTTTTAATTCCAGCTCTGCCTCTAATGAGTTGTTCAGCTGTGACATATTGCGGCATCTGTTAGGCAAGCAAGGAGCACGTACCTATATCTAAGGTACAGAAACTGAAAATCCTTAATTGCTGTATGGAAAAAGCTGTCAAATGAGATATCTAGATATAACAATTAAATATTATTGTAAGGTAGAAACGACATTCTTTTCTTTCATGTCACATGAAGATCTCAGAGTCTGCTTCAGTTTGGCACTTACTAAGCTGCATATATTTAACAAAGTTCTTCATAAAGAATCTCTCTTCTACAATCTAGATTGTTCAAATGATGCCTAGACCAAAATGGCCAGATTAAAAGAAGGTCATTTAAAAAACATGCAGTTTGGAGGGACCTGAAAATTCCCAGGTATTCATTCTCACTGCTGAGCATCAAAGATAACTGTGTGTGATAGCCAATGGACAAAATAGATTCTGAGGAATAGGGCAAATATTTCCTCCTTTAGAAGTAAAGGCTATAGTTTTAGTGGAGAAAGTTACTGTCTTATAACTGAGTCCCATTCCAGTGATTTCTTAATTCAGAAATGATTTTTGAAACACTTGAACAAATGCCTGGAAAATGAATGCATCTACCCAATAATACGAAAATATTCCTCAGAGAATAATGCAAGACAGCCAGCCCAAGTTCTGTGCAGGAACCCCCAGTGCACACGAAACCCTGTCCAAACCTGGTAATCAAATGTGCACCGCTGATCTGCCTCTTCTTTGGGAGTCCGCAGGTCTTCTAGGCTCTTAGCTTGGCTGAGAGGCTGAGGCTGTGTTTCTACTTCTAAGTTAGGGAAAATGTCTTCAAGGAGGTTGATTTCTGTGGCCTTGCTTGAAAGCAGAGGGCTTGGAGGCAGAGGCTCTTTTGATTTTTCTGGACTGACTGCCTCTTCCCCATCAGCACTATCAGATTCTTTCAGGGCCCGGTATGGCTGAGGCCTAGGAAAGAAACAAAAATCATGTTGCAAATTACTGTCTTTCTAATATTTTTTTAAAACAAGTATTTACTAAGGAGCTGGATGGCAAAACACAGCTTACAGTGCCTTGTGAACAGCACGTGTGTGAGCAAAGTGACCAAGGGCAGAAGGACATACAAAGATGACTTGGCACTCGAGGGGTTTTCAGAACGGAAAAAGACCTAAGTGGGAAGTACTCAGAGGAAAGCTGTGATCATGCAGTTACGGACAGGCTGAAGAGGGAACTCTCTTGGAGCAGGAATAACAGGACGCTAGCTCTCCATTTTGACAGTCTGGCCCTCCCCCTCAGGCAGACCACTGCTATTGTGCTCAGTCCTTTTGCACAAGAAGTCGGAGCAAGCACACTGCAAAGTGTCCTGTGTTTTGCAGGCACTTACATTCTCTTGCTTCAAGCTAAGTCAGCACAGAACATAATTCAGTGTTTTCCTGCAATAATTGGGAGCACTGTGCAGAGTTCCAATGATTACATTGGTGTCATCTTATCAAGAAACAACACGATCCATTATGGAGACACCTATTTTACATTTACAGCCAAGGCCAAGTTAGCAGGATGCTTTTCTTGCACATACCTCAGCAAAAAAATGAACACCAGCAGATTTGCATATTGGTTCTGTGTACAGAGAACAGCAGCATAATGCACATCCAATTAATAACAAGAAGTGCCATACATATCTGTGGTGACTGGCATTTGACTGGCAGCCAGTTCTACTGTGGCATTTAAACAAGGTTTCAATAAAAAGAAAATATTTGTGAGACCTGCAAAAACAGATACTATGGAAGAACCCTCCTCCTCTTTCCGTATTTTATTATAATACATCTACATCATGCAAATTTATAAACAGCCCATCTTACTTCATTCATCAACACATAAATAGCAGGCATTCGGCTAGCAACACAAGAATGTAAGAATGCAAGTACAAGACAGACAGCTGATGGTACATGTCCTTAGGAAGAGGGTGATCTTGCAAATCTCGGTCATATCTTTAGTCTCTCACGTAATATGTGCTCATCTGCTAAGCACTAGATCGTACTTCAACCCCCACCCACGAGGAATATTCTGCAAACAAACCATTTTAGTGGCCTGGCCTCCTCCACCCCAAACACAAGAGTGTGGGAACATTTTTCTGGCCCTTTGCTACTGAACCTATACATCTGTCTCCCCATGCCCAACTGCCCTCAGTCATGTCCCTTCCCTGTCGCTCTCTGAACCTGCCTTCTGCAACACACATGAATTTTAGCAATTGGAGACTCCACTATCAACCTGGCAGCTGCCTTCTCCAGCCTAGTCTAACACAACTGCATCCAGCAGGCTCCAGTTGCTCAGATGCGACTGGGCATCCATCTCCCAGCACCTGGAACTGCCCGGATCTGGCATCACACAGATTTCTGAAGCAGCAGCTCACAGTACCCTGGCACCTCTCCCTACAGGTTCTGGTCAAGCCAGCAACTGCATTTGTCAAAAGAATTAGTGTAATTCTGTGCAATTTATCTCCCTTTCTCCCCCTAGAAATCCTCAAGCAGGTGAGGTTAGGAAAGAACAAATCCTCCCAGTGACATGCAGTGAGGCCTTAGCTCAAGACTGCCCTCCGGGGTTGGTATGTTCAAATACGCAGTAAGAGGTATTTAGTACAGCTGAATCAGTGTGCACCCTCCGTGTGACAGTGTCACTCTCATCTCCAAAAGATACGCTTGGGCCCCTGGGAAGACTGGCCAGGTAAACGGGAGCTGACAGGCAACACTCGTTCCCTGAACACGGGTACCCTGGGCAGGTGGCAGAACCCTGCGGCCAGTGCTTAAACGTACAGCTCTCCCAGGCTGGTAGTTGCAATATGGCCAAGCTGCTCAGGACCATGTTTCAAAACTAGGCAGGATTAAGTTACAGAGGTTTGGGAATTTACAACTATTTACAAATTACAAAGTCAGATACAAATAACACAGTGAGTAAACCCAACAAACTGCTTGCTGTTTCTTGTATAATTTTAGGTCAGATTGTACTCAAAACCCTTGGAGGACATCTGCATAGCAATGCCCCATAGTCACTGAGGATGTGGTACTTGACAGAACAGGGAGGCTGGGATCAAGCAAGTGAAACTGGAAAAAGCCAATAACTGCACTGAAATAAGGCTCACAGGACAATCCAAAAAAGCACAGCTAGCACTGCACAAGAATGGCAGAAGGTTTGGACAAGAACACAAGCAGCACATTGGAACAAGGGGGAAGCGGAGGGGTTACACCCCACAGAGCTCAAGCCCATGTAAAACTGTAAGCTGGGCATTGCTGCATAGTGTTTCATGCAGGAGTATGCTTTTGCATGCTGCTAACTATCAAAACAAACAAGCAGGAGAAATGCTGAACATTCATCAAGCGCCATACAGAGACTGCAGGAGCGTTTCCAAAATTCCAAGTATAGGAGCAAGGCACCCTGACCAACGCAAAAACCATTGTTCGAAGACTGAATTAATACAATGGAAGAATAAAGGATAGACCATTCAAAAGGAGCAGAGAAGAAAAAGTTTTCAGAGAAGCCAGAGACAGGATCCTCTTCCTGCTGAAATTCATCATCAGAAGAGTCCTCAGAGAGGAAGACTGTATAGTGTCGCATAGGCTTTACAAGGCTGAGGGAAACAGGAAGAGAAAAGGAAGTTATCAAGTTGTCACATTCAAAGCTCCAGAGGAGAGAGAAACCAAGTGATTCGTAGGCTCTAAATCATTTCCAAACGTGACTGACTGCCACCGCAAAGAGCTCTGCAGGTAACCGTTGAGCTCTACTTTTCAGGCAGAAAATACAACTCTTCTAAAAATGTCTAGGGTGCCATCTAGTTGGGAAGGGTACCAAAGACCTGCAATGACACCCATACTGCAAAAGAAGCCAATACAGAAACCCACCTTTTCCCCACTACATTTTCTAGAGAGTTGGGCATCTTTTGCTGTTCAGAAATACATCTTTGCTTCTCAGATTCTCTGAGCTCTAACTACAAGCAAACAAATATTAGATCTGCCTCTCTGCTTTATAGAGGTTTAGACTGACGTTAGTCTGATATATGAGAGGAGCTGACTTGAGGGCAACAATTCCTACTTGTATCTATTTTTGAGATCTGAAATTGCTTCACACTAGAATAAAAACAAAACTGTCCAAGGATTTATATGAAATGCAGTTTGTCAAGTAAGGTGTATATGTTTCTTTCCTCAATGGTTAACTACTTTCAAAGTCTGGCAGAAAAAGCACTCAAGCTAATTTCTCCTGCATCACGGGACGCTAACTATCAATCTATGAATTTGTTATCAAAGGCCTGGAACAAAAATCCTTTCAAATGAAAACTTCTTAAAATCAGAAGTGCCTCTGGAAATACACTTCAGCTGTAATTAAAACCAACCAACCAACCAACCAAACAAACCCAAACAACCCCCCCACACACACCAAAACCAACCAAACCAAAAAAATCCAAAACAACAAAAAGCAACCACTACCAAAAACATTTCACCAGACTTTTGAGAAGCACATATTAGACATCTTTATTTTATACACAGAGGTCAGATCTCCAGGATTTGCTCTTGTACCTAATGAAGACAATACCTAAATTTTTAGTGAATGTAAACTAACTATGCATTACCCATGTCTGGGCAAACATACACTGATTGGTGGATGAAAGAAAAATATTTTTAAGTTTGCTGAATTTATGAATATTTTTTTCTATTATTTATTGTAGCTATCAGTTGCTTCACTTCATTTTAACCAAAAACCCAGTAAATTACTCCTTTCTGCATAAAGCAGAAGCTTGTAAGATTGACTGTTTCCACTGGAGCAAATTCAGATGTGGCTATCGCTGCTTTCAACAATTAAATGTGCTATCAGCTTTAGTAGAAGAGGTAAGAGTACAGGAGCAGGGTACTTAAGCAGAAATACACTGGAATGAAGAGTTTGAAGAGTATGAAGAAATTAATAGCAAATATTGCCTCATTTGTAATGCTAAAATATCCTGATCTTTAGTAAAGTATGAAGCAAGTGCCATCGTTCATTCCCCTCTGAAACACTGAAGCTCTGGATGGCAAAAGAGTTTCTAGGAAATATATTCTCACAAATTAAATATTAAGACAAATGCTTCACAAGTAACTGAAAGCAGTAAAAGCGAATCCAGAATTACCAGTACTAATCAGAGGCCTCTACACCATAGTCCAGTGCTTTTCAATCTACTAAAACTCAAGGACAACATTGTGTAGAGCCACCAAAACTATATGCACTTACAAAACCCCATATACTCAATTTTTAACAGTTATTTATTGTTTCTTATTTATTCTCCCCATTTCATTTGCGTTTTGGCATATCTAAGTGTGCATGAGTGGAAATGAAAAAAAAAACCCAAGAAAACCTCTTTTCAGTGTCATTATAAACCACCTTTATATGTCTTCCAGACCAAACAACAGGCTGATGAACACTGATAGATGTTGCTAGAGAGCACCATTTACAGGTCTCTTTTTTCTTCCCCACATCACTATAACAATGGAAAAGAAATCACTAGGATCATAAAAGCAAACATTGTTTCTAGCCATCCAAATGAGGTCTCTTCCCAAACATCTTCATTTTATAAACCACATATCACTGATAACATCCTAGTTATTGTAGTGAATCAAAACATACATCGTGAATGACACAAAGCCATACACAATTGAGACGGGAGCCTAATTTTCCTACTACTGAGGTCCAGAATAAAATTTGTTATTTCAGTGTAAGCAGAATCAGGCTCATAATGTGGAACAAAGGATAGGTCCTGATCCTGTAGACATCGCAGAGCAATGCAAATATATCACACCACTATGTACATTATAGATAAGATGAGGATATGCTGAAATTGGAACAGGACCAAAAGCATGGATAGAAAAAGAAAGAATTTGATTTGTTGCCTTTATAGCATAGACATACTAACAAACTACCTCTAGTGGCACTTGAACGCATAATCAGCCTTC